TATTCTTGAGTTTTCCTGGTAAAATTATCTGTAAAAACAACTTTGTTGTGTGCTCAGTGTATACATTTATTCCAATTGAACTGGCATTTACTGGCTGTCTACCATGTGCTAGACACCGTGCTAGGATCAAATGTAATATTCATGTACATGCATTTTTATTCTTTTAAACACTAACAATCATTTCCAGTGACAGCAGGGAAGATTGGCTTCACACTTTTAAAGAGGAATGCTTAGTTTTAGTTCCTAAACTGCTTGCTGTTCCATTTTTCCTGGTTAAATTTAGAGAATACCAAAAGCCCCTTGACAGCCTGGTGGGTTGTGTATTTAAGGAAAAACAGGTGTATAGCAATACTGTGTTCAGTCCATGCTTTAACTCATGTAGGGAAGCTTATGGTGCAGTGGCCATTTCCAAACTTGGTGCCCTTCCTTAGAGAGAGGATCCCTGGCTCGATGTGACCACATTGAGTCAGAGGATTCTGGGGTTTCTATGGAGTTCCAACCTCATGTCTCATTTTTATGCCCAGAGAAGGGATGAGGAGTGCAGAGAAGATTCTTCTAGGGCATTGAAGGGTTTTCCTTTGCCCAGTATTTGAAAGAAGAGAGCAATGCAAAGGAGGGGGAAATGTCAGTGTGGGAATTTCTACTTCCCAAGTATCCTCATTGGCTTCTGGAATATAACCTCAGCTTTGGAAGAAATGACTTCAGGCAAGTTCATCCAGATACTGTGCTAATTGCTTTTCATATGTTATCTCAATTCACCCTCACGACCACTCTATTAGTAGGTCTTATTATTATTATCCTCATTTTACAGATGAGAAAACAAAGGAAGTTTAAGTAATTTACCTAAGTGGCTGACCTCAGGATCCCACTCCAGTTCTGCCTGACAGCAGGGCCCATGTTTTAACCCACCGTGCTCACCACTAGACTAGATGTCCTCCCCTTTTATGTGTTCCCACAGCACTCCTTACTGCTCAGTTGGCAGCATGCATCACTCTTACTGTAATTCATTCAATACCTGTCTTCCTCACTAGACTGCACATTCTATGAGATCTTAACCTGTTCTGACTTGTTCCAACACACATGGCTTAGCACATGGGAGGTGCCAAATATCTGTCGAGTGAAAGTGAAAATATTATAATCAATTAAATTTTGGCAAAATCTCCTAAAAGTTCTGTTAACCGACAATAATTGATCTTTTGTTCTCCTTGGTGGGGTGCCGTGGGTGGGGTATGCAAGGTCGGTATGAACTTTGAGTTCTTTGATGGAGCTGGAGAGACAAGGCATCCATAGGAACCATTAGGAAAAACTGAAGATGGCCTACTGTTTGAGTGCTGCATTGTGTGGACCTAACTTCACAATAGGAAATCCAAGTGCCTCAGAAGGAATCTCCCATTTCTTCTTGGATGATGTAGAACTTTCTATATCCAAGTGCTTTTCTTTTGCTGGAATCTATCTATAGCAGGACTGTCATGTTTAGGCTGTCATATTTCTAAACTGCCACAAGATGGGAGTATTTTAAACCTTTACTCTTGATCTTTTATGGGCCATATTGAGGATGGGACGAACCTCAGTGTCCCAATGCGTACACTGGAACTCAGAAAAACAAACACGAGTCTGTTTTTGCCGTTGTAAATTTGATTCATATGAGATTGCCGAAAGGAAATGGATATTAAAGAAAGAGAAAGCTATTGGTTTATAACTGTTGTGTGCTGCATTTGAAAATAAGCTTGAAGTGTAAAATGGAAAAATTATTGGAACCAAAATTCAACATTCTGAATGATGCAGTCTCTTTCTTTTGTTTCTAAAGCTCAAAGTTGAAGAAATACCAGCTTCTCATGATTCACCATTATCTTGGCCTTTGGTTCCAGTGTAGAAATTCAGCTGCCTGTGGTGCATATTGAGGGCTGCTACTATCAAACTTTCTACATTGTCTTTGGTCCCTCAGGCAAATAGCAGGTGCATTGTAAGTGTCCTGGGACAGAAATTATAGTTACAGAAATTCAAATTGCAGTCGGTGCAATATACCAAGGCAGAGAGGATTAAAGAGTGATGGTCAGTGAAGTGTGTGTTCTAACTCATGTGCAAAAAAAGCCCATTTGCAAAGAAATCTATTACCAATAGATGGTAAGCTTGGCTACAATGTCGGATGCTTTAATGCTTTTAGAGACTCTTATCCTAAAGGTTGAGAGAAGCAATACACAAAGGAAGGAAGGACAAGGGTAGGGAGTTTGGACAGATCAGATAGAGGAAGGACTGGCAGGCAGTGTAGGGTTCTGCAGCCAAGGAGGCAAATCCAGGAAGACCAGCATAGGCTTTTCTTTATCATACCTTCAATCACCATTGAGACCTGTGATTGCAGACTCCACACTAGAGAATTAAATGGCTCCCAGTTTCTCTCAGGTCTTGCATGCACGGGCATGTGGGCCAGTTTCCACAGGGAACATCCAACAGGCCATGGAAAGTGCTTGAGTTCAATTGTTAACATCTTTGCTTTGTTGGCTGGGCGGCCCCAGCAGCCCCCTCCCAACTCCTTTACTCAGCTGAGACTTCTCCATCCCAAGGCCCGCAGGTGTGACAGGTGCTCACTCCACTTCATTCCTACCATCTTAATTTTCCTTACCTTGGCTCATAGAATCCTAGAATGTCAAAGATCTAACAGAAGGAGAACAGTGTGAAGTCAAGTGACTTGCCCAAGAAGCTTCTCTAATACAAAGCTCTTTGCCCACATTTTCCTGCCCACCTCACCAAAATCTGCCCTTTTCTAAGTCCACCTCAAGGCCTCATCTTTAAAGTCCTAGAGTATTTATTGTTAAAATCTATGTATCTCAATTACATACTCTCTGGTGTTGCTCACTGTTGCTTTCTGTGTCTGTCTTGACTTCCCACCGAGACGCTAAGCCCCTTTAACACAGGGCCGTTATCTTATGCACCAGGACTTCTCAAATGTTAATGTGCAGAGGGATCACCTTCGGATCTGGTTAAACTGGAGATTCTGATTCAGAAGGTCTGGGGTGGGGCCTGAGACTCTGCATTTCTAACAAATTCCCTTGGTAGTGGTGCTGATGCTATTGGCCCAGCACAGCACTCGGTAATTGATTGATTGCCGCTTTCCCCTCAGAAACGTTGTACGTTGTAGGAGTCCATTTTATCTGATAGACATTTGTTTTCATGTCTCCAGCATGTTAAAGGAATAGTATAGTTTGTCTTTGTTATGAGGAGGCAGGGTAGTGTGGCAGGTTAAAGCATGGGCTTTGAGCCACTCAAAATAAAAAGCTAACATTTATCAGGTACTTAACCATGTATTGGGCTCTGTGATGAGCACTTTATGTGCATTATTGGATTTAATCTTTTGAAAGAAAAACGTCAAGTAAAAACCAAAACCATTGTGTTATGTTTGGGGTTTCAGAAAATAAGTATCAATTTCTCAAGTGATTTCTCTTTCTATAGGACTACAGAGCTTCTATAGATTTTGAATACACTGCTCCTTTAAGAAAAGCTTAGTAAGTCTCCTGCTAGGATTTTTATATCAGCTGATAATTTAAAAATCATGACTGATTTTTCACAATAACCACTGTTTTATGCCTTATACAAGTATATGGAAAATGTTTCAAAAGAAATTGACTCAACTAAAAGAGTATTTAACTTGCATAACTCAGATAAATGAATTATGAATTTATTAGTAGAAAGCTATAATTCTTATTTCTGGGTTTCAGGAGCTCAAGAATAGTAAGTTTGGCCAAAGAAAAAATGCATTTGTTTTCAGATTTCTTTAGAATTCAAAATCTAGTGAGCATTTTGTCGATTAAAAAATTGATTTTCATTCTCAAAAGGAAAACTCATATTTCTGATCCGTTTTTTTCTTAAGAGGAATGTGTGTGTGCATATATATGAATGTATGTGTCCATAATAGCCCTTGACTTAAGTACTATTGTCCTCATTTTAAAGCTTGTGCAAACTGAGGCTCCATGAGATTAAATGACTTGGCCACTTTTGCACTGCTACTAGGGGCTGACCCAGGATACAAATCCAATTCTGTCTGTTTCCAAAGCCAGCATTATTTTTTTAAACATTTTATTTTGAAAAATTAAAAACCTACAGAAAAGTTTCAGGAATGGTACAATGAACATCCATATATCTTTCCTCTAGATTCACTGGTTGTTACCATTTGCAAAGCACACGTTATTAATCACTCTACTATTTATTAGGTATATTGTGTTCTTAGGATATTACACAACCTCTCCATGTTTAATTTCTTCATCTATAAATGGATAAAAATATCTATATTGAGGGTTTTTTTAATGAACATTAAGTGAATAATGTATTTATTCTTTCAGCAAATATTTATTGAGCTCCTACCATCCTGGGATGAATACAAGGCATTCTTCTAAGGCAGGACAAAGCAAGATAGCACAGTTTGTGCCCTCATAGAGCTCAGAGTCAGAGGTGGGGGGGACAGACAGTAAAGGGACACACTAGGTAATCTCAGGTGGTCTAAGCTCTGGGGAGGAGAGAGTGCTTTTGGACAGAATGGCCTGGAAGACTTCCTGGAGGAAGTGACTTCTTGCCTGAGGCCTGACTCATGAAAGAGAGTGAACCATGCATAGATAGGGGCAGACTGGTCACTATCCAGAGGCGGTGCCAAACATCTCTTTATCCAGCAAGAAAGGGAGATTTGTGGAGTTTCCATTTATAGAGATTGTTTTTAGAAGAGAGCACACACTCTCTCAGATATACTTGGTAATAATCTGACAAAGGATAGGCCAGGCCAGTAGGTTTTTCAGAGTCTGTTCTATCTTTGTACATCTCTTCACAGAGTGCTACAAGCATGGATTTCCCAAAAACAATCTTTATGAAAGTGCCTTAAATTCCTTAGCAATTATTTCCTTTTAAGCATGTAACTTTTAATATCACTAAACTCGTTATTAACTAATGGCAGTTGCTGTCCAAGGAAGTCTGATTTGCAATTCTTGAGTCTCGATAACCTTTTGTTTCTAATTTAGAAATTGGGTGAAGACATGCATCAAAAAATTGCACAGGAAATGAACCTCTCTGAAACTGCTTTTATCCGAAAACTGCACCCAACTGACAACTTTACACAAAGTAAATATGCATTTTTTAACCGTTCTTGAATGGTACCAGAAGCTGCTTCTTCAGTGAGGGAATGATATTTAAGGGAAATGCCCACTTACTATTTGCATGCAGAGAGGAGAGATGGAGAGATGCTGATTTGGTTTTCAGTTCGTCTGGGGGAGTGAGTGTGGGTGAATTTGAATGTTTCAGCTCTAGATTTAGCACTGGGGAGCCCTAGGATGCTTGTCTAGACTTCATTCCTCCTTTCACAATGTGTTTCAGCTGTTAATCATGCTAGTGAAATATATAGAAAAGAATAAGAAAAGTTTTTGCAACCCACTTGTATGGGAATGATCTCGTTTCTCTTTGGTTTTTCCTCCTCTGAAGGTTCCTGCTTTGGATTAAGGTGGTTTACACCGGTGAGTGAGGTCCCTCTCTGTGGCCATGCTACCCTGGCCTCTGCAGCTGTGCTGTTTCACAAAATAAGTAATGTAATTTTTTTATGAACCTATCACTTAGAAAATATGTTTTAAAATTCTCACACACTCTTTTCCAGTAACCAAAGTGACTGGTCTAAAGACATTGCAGTTTATTTCATGCAATTCATTATGCAGAAACAAAAACAGGGGCCAGCCCGGTGGCGCAAGCAATTAAGTGCCCACGCTCCGCTGTGGCGGCGCGGGGTTCGCCGGGTCGGATCCCGGGCGTGCACCGACGCACCGCTTGGCAAGCCATGCTGTGGCGGTGTCCCATATAAAGTGGAGGAAGGTGAGCACGGATGTTAGCCCACAGCCAGTCTTCCTCAGCAAAAAGAGGAGGATTGGCAGATGTTAGCTCAGGGCCGATCTTCCTCACAAAAAAAAAAAAAAACAAAAAACCCCAGCAACCTTCAATAACGCTTTGGCCTTTCTGGGTATGTGCCAGGCATGTTCAAAAGCCATGTTGTTCCCTAGAATGCCATTTTATTTAAATAGAAGCTCTCTAGTCTCTGTGACTAATACAGGAGGGGAGTTTCGCAAGGCACAATAGGTGACTCACGTGAGGTGACATTGGGGAACCAAAAGGCACACTTTGCCCTAAGTATGTCCCCACCCACATTGAAATTTATTTCACAACAAGAGTTGTTTTACTCTGAATTTTAAAGATTTCTGAGCCCCAGCGATATTCACCTTGTGAAGAGAGGACGCAGCACCTTAGTTCTATCAGTTTCTGTCTTAGCTGCATTTAGTACAAAGCCATAAAGATCAGGGCTTTGTGGGAGTGAGGCAGAGGAGAGACACTGGAAATGCCCTAAAAGTGGAGATGGAAGCAGCCGTGAACAAGCCTAGGCAACAAACAGAAAGTTCAGCAAGGAAATAAACAGGATGATATGACAGAGGGTAACAGTGGGGAGTTGGAAAAAGAAGGTTCTTTAGGGAATTGCTTAGACGGGGATAGTAAGGGAAGGTGTTACAGGGCAAGCTCCCCCAGGAAGCAGACCCTGAGACATATTTGCATGCTGGAAGGACTGGAGACAGTATTCTTGGGATCAATACTGGTAGAGGGGTAAAGAAAGCAGGATTGAACAGAGGAAGAAGTTGAACTGCAAAGTGGTAGCAACAAAGAAAGACCTAGGCCAAATCCACAGGGAGGTCTGAGGCTGCGAAGGTCCTTCAAGCAGTATGGTTCCAAATAGAGGCAAAGGTTCAGGCCTTTGTACCCTCCATTGACCAGTCTCCAATGCCCAGTAAAGCAGTGTGACTTTGGATAAAGTAGCACTATTCAGCCAAGGGCAATTCCCAGAGCAGGACTCAGCTGAGAGCTGTCAGTCACCAACACTCCTGGCAGCTGGGTCAGGGCAAGGTGGAAGTGAGACAATCACGGCCTCAGGTTACACCTGAGAGCTGGTGCCTCCTTACATTCTATACCTCCTGGTACTTCCTTGCCTCACCTAGTCCTAGCCCTGAGAGGAAAGGGGATGAGATTCTGGACAACAGCATGGATTAGAGAAGAGGACATTTGGACTGAAGAATATGAAGCCATCTGTGCAAAGAGCTAGAGTGGGAGGAAGAGCATTCTGGGCAGAGGCAGCAGCAAATGCAAAGCCCCTGAGGCGTCTATATAACCAGGCTGGAGCTTCCTGAGCAAGAGGATGATTGGCAGGAGATAACATTGAGAGTTAGGCCAAGGCCCCTCTATGGTGTAATCCATTATACATTTTAAAAAGATAATTTTGGTTTCTGTGGACAGGGGACAAGAATGAAGGCAAGCAAGCATCCTGAAATGTTTAGGAACTCAGTCTTGAAAAGTAGGTATTACTGAAGTTGAATTGAGTGCCTTTTGAAAACCCCACAGTGGTTGGTATGAGGCTGAGGTTTGGAATGACAGCCCTCAGATCCCCCATCTTAAGGTTAGATGAGATAAGGTATGATAAAATGCTTTGTAAATACTGAGGTCTTACACCTATTATTAAAATTAAACTTTAGGTTTCAGAATGTAAATTTTATACTCAGTGAAATTTAATAAGCAATGCCAAATTTCCTCACCTTTGAAATAGGGTTAAGTTTTACAAGAATATTAGGAGAGAGAAAAGAATTAAGTCACAAATCTCTGTTTTCATTAAAAATGTTACGTACACTGGGGTCAGATAAATGGCCCAAGTTGTTTCAGTAACATGGAGGGATGTGATATCAGGATTTGTGGTCCGATCTTTAAATCACAATTTTAGCTTGGTTTATTTAGAATAAATCTGATTTGTTCATATCAGACTGTTGTTCATAACTTGTACGTTCTATTTGTCATCCCCTTGGCGTATCTCAGACTAATAGAGTTATTGCAGGTGGATATTTAAAAATCTGCATTAGAAAACATTATAGCATCCCTATGAGGTTTAATTATTACCCCAATTTTATTGGTAAAATGAAATTAGTATAGGTTTCATTATTACCCCATTTTACTTATGAGGAAATCGAGGCTTAATGAGGTTAAATAGTTTGCACAAGGGTACAGTTAGTAAGTGATAAGGCGCTGGGATTTGCAGCCTTGCAGTATGATGTCAAATCCAATCAGTTATGTTCTTGGTTCTCCAGTTTGAATCCAGTGAGAGTTTTCTCCACTCTGGACCCCAGCAACCCACACCTGGGCCCCATCACAGGAAGGGACAGTACTGCCAGAGGGTCTCAGACAATGCAGTGGTGATCGAAACAGATATATGAACATATAACGAAGTTTATTTTCCAATTTCTTGATTCCTTTTCAAACAGTTTTCTAATTCACTCTTTTTTTTTGGCCAGAAAACGTGAATAGTACTCTAACCTTTGTCACTCTGAGCGGGGAACTAAGGGTCAGAAGAGGAGAGGATGATATCGTCCTGGATTTTCCTCTTTATCCAGCCCACCCCCAGGTCAGCTCTTGCTAATTGTTGCCATAAACTGTGCACAACTGATGGCTTGCCTGTTTTACAATGGGTTTGTCTTTTTTCCCCATCTAGGACTTCCATGAGGTGGAGGACTTGATAAAGGTTAGTGAAAAGAATTGAACCTGACGTTGTGTGATATGGTCATTTATTACTGTTTGAACATAAAGATTCAGTACCATTTGATCCCAGAAGATAGACCTTCTACCAGTATAAATGTTCCAGTCTAAGCTTGGATGAATAGTTCACGGTGGATTTGAGGTTTGAATTTTAATATGGAATCTATTTGGTAAGAAGGTTGACCAGTTTTTCCTGACTCTTCATTGTCAGCATTAGCCTCCACGGTAGGGTGAGGGGAGGAGAGTCTGTGTGTGGCAGGCTGAGAATGAAAGAAAAGAACGGAAACTGCCTAGCAGCTGTCAGTGTCCCCAATTTCTGCGATGGAGGATGGGGCTGAGGTGGGGGGGGGCTGTGCTTTGATGAAGGAGACCAGGAAAGCATGAATACCTGGCCTGACCTCCTCAAGTGGTCTATGTAGGGGTGGGGCTTAATAATATTAATAACTAATAATAGAGAACATTTTTGAGAGTCTGCTCTGTGCAATCCATGTGCTAAGCGTTTCACATGCATTATCTCATTTAACTCTCACTGTCACCTAGTGAAGCAGCACTACACTTGTCCCATGGAGATTCCAGAGGACCAGAGCAGCCCTGGACAACCAGGTGCTTAGTCTGTAGAGATGGAAGGGCCCAGGTCAGGACCAGGGCAAGGGCTGCCATGAGAAAAAACGATTCCGGGGCCGGCCCAGTGCCGCAAGCGGTTGAGTGCGCACGCTCTGCTTCAGAGGCCCAGGGTTCGTGGGTTCGGATCCTGGGCGCACACCAATGAACTGCTTGTCACACCATGCTGTGGGGGCATTCCATATAAAGTGGAGGAAGATGGGCACGAATGTTAGCTCAGAGCTGGTCTTCCTCTGCAAAAAAGAGGAGGATCAGCATCGGATGTTAACTCAGGGCTGATCTTCCTCACAAAAAAAATGAAAAGAAAAAACAATTCCATGAAATGGCCTATTGTGGGTGCCACTGCGGTGTTTCTCAGTGAATTTTCAACTATAGCATTTGTAATCTCTTTAGTGTTTTGCTTTATCTAAGTTTTCAAAGAGTATAAGCAATCATGATGGATTCTGATTTTACCCTCAGCCCCACCTATGGCTTGGGTTTTGGGAGACAAGCCAAAATCATAAATGGACAGCTTTAAGCATGTTGCCAAGAAAATGGAAAATATTCATAGTAGGAGACCTTGTTCACGGTAGAAAGAACTTAATATAATCTCTCTAAGCCTCAGGGTTGCAACTGTACAGTGGGGATGATAAAGAATTATTTATTGTGAGAATTGTCATTTTGTGTTCCTAGAAACTGACAATAAGATTCCCAGCTGAGAATTAAACTTTCAAATTGACATAAAAATCCATGGAGAGAAGGGCAGGATGACCTTTCAGAGAGATGAGAGGCCCTGGAGAGCAGATGAGATCTGGCTGCAGGAGTTCCCATTTCTCGAGGGAGGGACATTAGTCAGCCATGGTCACAGAGGCAGACAGCCCAGGCACTACCCAAGGAGCAGGGCTTCTCAGCCTTGGGACCTGGAACATCTCGGTCCCTAAGGAGAGTTAGAAATCCTGAAGCCACCTAATGACATCCCGACAACTACCACATAACTGTCATCTGCTCTGGTGGCAGTGCCAAAGTATGACTTGAGGGGCTTTTGTCCCCTCATAATCTCCCTGAGCACCCCAAGAAAATAAATAAATAATGTTCTTGGATATGAGGAAGATTATGTGCAGTCCTTGGTAAAGGGCGTATCAACGTATCTTTGAGAAAGGTTGCTATGTTATTGATCTCTAGCATACAATCGGAGTGAAAACAGTGGGCTTGCCAAGCAGAGCAGCATTAAGATGAGTCCTCTAGTCCTCACTTCCAATGAAACTGCCGGACCTGAGTCCTTGCCGTGTAGAATGTTCTAGTTACTGCTGCAGGAACTCCACCTATATTATTTCATTTAATCCTCACAACAACTCTGAAAGGTGGGCATAAGGCCACCCCATCTCTAAAGACAGTAGACAGTAGTGAGGGCCCCTCCACAGCCCCGCAAACCTGGGTCAAGGGGTGTGTGTGTGTGTGTGTGTGTGTGTGTGTGTGTGTCTGTGTGTGTGTGTGTGTTTGTGTGACCATGACCCTGGGCCTCTGTAAGTCTTTCTCCTTATCTGTGGGGAGAACACCCATTTGAAGGAGTTGTGTGTTGAGGTACGTGGTAACATTTGTGAACAATGCCTATCTTTGGCTCTCAGAGGGTAAGCTCAACCCTCTTAAAGGCCTCTGATCACCAGGAAACTGGCCTTCCTTGGGCAACACCTTGAGTCCCGAAACTGAACTAAAACTCTTGGGATTGGAGATGATGGGTGTGCCTGGCACACAGCAGATGCTCATGAGAAGTCATTCCCCATACAGGGGATCAAGGACTTGATCCAGGGCACACTCCTGAGGAGTTTTTGGTCTGTCTCCACAGACTGCCATAGGTGACACACTGGTCCAAGACATCTGCTATTCTCCAGACACCAAAAATCTACTCGTCCGGCTCAGTGATACTTATAACAGGTAAACAAACACAAGTGTACTTTGGGGATAGCCAAGCACCTCGATTTATAGCTCTGGCATGGTCTGGCCATGCTGTGTCTGGTCAAACCAGGATTTACATAGCCCCAGAGTTGTTTCCCGGGTAGGAAGATGTTCCCCTTGCTCTTCCCTCCCCTCCTGCTGAGCTGCTGGGGCCAGCGGCATCCTGGCCTGCTCTGCAGAGTCTGTGTGGTGGGTGGTCTGTGGAGTGGGTTAGTAATAATAATCCACCCCATTTATGAACAAGGTCATTTCTGGAGAACCTGAAGGTGAACACACAGAATCTGCTGCAAGTGGAAAACACAGGGAAGGTGAAAGGACTCATTCTCACCCTTAAAGGAGAGTCTGATGGGCAGGCCCGAGCGTTTGACTTTTACTCCAGATATTTTGCGCCATGGTTTGGTGTGGCCGAAGACCCTGTCACAGGTACTTTTTGACTTGGGTCCTGGGAGGGTTAAACAATGGAGGAGGAGAATAACAAACAGCTGTTTAAGTGCCCTTCATGGGACCTTTCAGGTTGCTTGGGTTTTGAGCTTCCTTTTTTTCCCTATTTCCCCCTCGCCGTCCCTTCACTGAAGTCTCATGTGAAAAACACAGACTAAAGGAGGCAGCATAGCAAGGTTAGACCCTAGTTTCCGACAGCCTGGGTTTGCATCCTGGCTTCCTAGCTGTTGACCTTGGGCAAATGACTTAACTTTTTTTTTTCATGTAACCTTTTATTTCTGATTCAGTAATTCCGATTCAGTAACAATGTGTAGCACAAAATACTTCACTTTAATAATTCCTGCTGACTTCTAAACACAGTAAATCAGAACATTCAAGAACTTCTTCAATAGAGAAAGCAAAGAGGAACTTGGGAAGAGAATAGAAGCTAAAGTCAGAGAGGCCAACCCCATGGCGTAGTGGTTAAGTGCGCGCGCTCCGTTGCTGGCGGCCCGGGTTCGGATCCCGGGCGCGCACTGATGCACTGCTTGTCAGGCCATGCTGTGGCTGCATCCCATATAAAGTGGAGGAAGATGGGCACGGATGTTAGCTCAGGGCGAGTCTTCTTCGGCAAAAAGAGGAGGATTGGCATGGATGTTAGCTCAGGGCTGATCTTCCTCACAAAAAAAGAAGTTAAAGTCAGAAAAGTAGGGTTTAAGTCCTGGCTCTGCTACTGACTAGCTTTGGTGCCCTGGACAGTAGCTTAGACTCGACGTATTTCCCAGCCTGCAAAATGAGTCTTTATGACACCTCTTCTCAGAGGGTTGTGATGAAGAGTAAACAAGACAATGCATGTGAAAACTACTTTGTAAGAATGACTTGACTTTTTAAAGTTTCAGTTCCCTCCTCTATAAAACATGGATAATACCTCTTAGGCTTATGTAAACACATGCATGTTAAGTGCTTAGCACACTGCCTGGCACATGGTAAGTACCCAATAACTATTAGCTATTTTAGTAATAACGACAACACTGGCTCCCTGAGCCAATACTTCCAGATCTGACATTTGCAAAATTCAGGGCCTGATGTCCACTACATTTCCAAAGCCTTTTATTCTTTTCAGTGACCAGCCTGCATAATCCTTGACATCAAGGTAAGATTTGGTTTTTGAAGGATACATTCCTGGCTGCAGGTGGGAAAGAGGGGCAGGAATAGTGTTTCTTTTCCTCCCCTTCTCCTTTCCCAGACCTGCCCCCAAAGTGGATGGGAGGGGTTTGGGGTTGCGAGTATTCAAGATTTTCTATCAGTCAGAAGCAGAGGGATGAAATAAAAAATGGGCAAGAATGTGAAGCCTCCTACTTACAACCTCTTTGAGAGGAGTAGGCTGAGTAGCAAAAGAGAGGAATGCCTGATGGAGGAGGCTGGTGGAGCGGATGACGCCAGGGCAGAAGGAGGCTGGGCAGAGACTTCGAGGCTCCCATTCTGGTCAGATGGCAAGGGCCGGGGTGGCTTCAGGACCTTGACTTAGTTACTCTCTGAGGAACAAAACACATGAAATTCAAAGCTCAGCAAGTAAGCACTTTTAAAGACTCAGGAAAATGCCCAACAACATCCAAACAGTCCAGCTCAACCCTCCCCCATGGAAGAGAAATTCTGAGCAGATTTACACTTGCATAGCTGCTAAATAAAGATCTTAATTGGCACATAAGGCAAGTTTTTTCCCCCTGCAAAAATGCTTTTCCAGAGTGGGAAGTTCTTTGAATGATGATGACCAACCATCTCTGTTTGCTTGAGACTGAGGGATTTCTCAGCATACAGGACCTTCGGTGCTAAAACCAGGACAGTCTCGGGCAAACTGGGATGGTTGGTCACCATTTGGGGACCTCTCATAACATTTAGTAAGTTTTCCTGAAGGAAGGGCCTTTTCCTCCACATCCTTTTCTCCCCCAAAGACTTTTCTGTCAGCTATTACATTATACTTTGTTTCATCATTTTAATATCTATTCTTTGATCTAAAACTAGGGCACAATCAGGTGAAAAAATACCTCACTAAAAAGAAAGTTCTTTTGACACCAAAAGCCTGGGAATATTGGCTTGGTGGGAAATTTGGCCTTTTGTCAGAGTTCACACCTTTCCTTGCATGTGTATCCTCAGAGGAAGGAGGTATTTTCCCTCGAAAGATGTACAAAGATTTATGTGAAGGCCTTGATTTTTCCTCCTGTGGGCTGACAGTGAACTGGTAGACAAGACAAGAATTAAAACCTGCAGTTTAATCCAGCCTTCAGAAAGTGTAAGATATAGAGAATACACCATTTGGAGGAGCTTATCCATAAATTCTATGTCTTCCTTTCTATCTCCATTCATAATTCCACACTCTGCTGTGGCTGTGGCCAACATAAGGACTAAATCATCTAAGATTTAGTCACACTGGATAGTTGATTGTAATCGCTTATAAACTTACCACAGTTGCCCCTGTTTTCTTCAGGATTGTATCATAACTTTTTACTTCTTTTAAGGGTCTGCACATACTGTTCTTGGCAGCTACTGGTCTCAGCAACTGGGGAAGAAAAACATGCATGGTAGGACAGCTCTTTGTCGATTTCTTTTTAATTTGCCTAACTTTAAGCTAGTATTTCTTCTCATATGTACTGCCTACTTGAAGATGTAATAAAATGTTATGTATCACCCACATGAAAATGAAAAGTTTTTAAATTCCTTCACCCTGAACTCTCTACTCAAAAACATCCTCCCCCCCAAATATTTTCCACCTCTGGGCCTCCCATCACACAGACACACTTCTAATACAGTAAGTACCCAATAAGTGTTTGTTGAATAAAATTAACGAGCTGTATAACTTGGCCCAGAGAGGTTATTTATAATGTGACAAGTTGAGATTGAATGACCATCAAGGTTCCTTACTGCCATTGCTAGCCGCGGGATTGAATCAAACAAATTGCTTTTGAGCCAAGTCCCCTAGTGATAAATGTATTGCTCAGGGGCAGAGAAAATAGATCGCAGCCAATGGAGGCTACATAGCCCCAATAACCAAAGTAGGAGTCTGACCCTAAAGGATGGATATCTTACATGGTGGGAGGGTTAGGCCTCTGTGACCTTGATTTGGGGATAGTAGGGTGGCTGTTCTCTATTTGGTGAGCTGAGTTATTCCCCGCAGCACTGAGCTTCAAGAAAGCTGAGGCCGTGCCTCTTGTTTGCCTGACACGTGTGGTTGCTTGATAACCACAAAGTGAACTTTGTCCTATTCAGACCCGGGAAGATGGAGTCTTCTCAGGAGGGCCGAGACCACCCCTCTTTATTTTCTTAGACTTTTAGTTCATGCCTCTGTCTTTTCACACGTCCTTGCTTACTCCTAGACAGAGCCGAGAGGAAGCTATGGTGAGGTATGTCTGGGGCATTACAGGAAGTGATAGAGGAAGTGGCTCAGGAAGGGAAGATGTGGAGCTGTGTGTTTTGTGGATCAAATTGCATTTGTGGCCCCTCAATCCTCAAGATAACAGGGTGGCCTGAGTGGTACTGTGGATAGAGAAAGGAATTTATTCTTTAAACTGACCTGGGAGGATTCTAGAGCTTGTAATAAGAGGTCTCTCACTATGTTCTGTTAATTAAAAAGGGTGAAAACGACCTTAATTTGTGACTTGTTTTATGTTTTCTTTAGCCTTTCAGTGTTCCCACCGAGGAGGAGAACTGGAGATTTCTCTGCGTCCTGATGGACGAGTTGACATTAGCGGGGGTGCTGCTATTGTGTTAGAGGGCACGCTGACAGCCTAAGATGGTGGTACTGCGGTGCTGCTATCTTGAATGACTAAGTATTTTCTGCACAAAAAGAAATGTAAGGGGCTGCCTTTAGCAAACTTGCATAGTAGTCCACTTAATCCTCATGTTAGAAATAGAAAAATGAAGACATATTAATGGAGATTTAATAATACTTCCTGACTAATTAACTAATGGAGTTTTGGCTCAACCTTTGAGTATATCTGAAATGTAAGTAACCAGTAACAAAGAATAATGTTGTCACCTTTGATTATGACTACCAATCACAGAATGAGGAACAAATTTATGAGGAGTAAAAGATCAAGCCATTTAAACTTAGCTGTATCCAATAGAATATTTTGCAATCATTAAAAAGACCCAATAACTACGTGGAAATATAGAAAAATATTTCATGATATAATACTAAGAAAGAAAATTATAGTAGACTATAAATTGTTAGAAATGTTATGCTATGTCTACAGAGAACATGAATTTATATGGACAAGGATGAGCCATGAAGATAGAAAAGTAAAAACAGTTCATGTGTGGGGGTAAGATTGGGAGTAATTTTAATGTATCTAAAAAATTATTTCCTTTATTGGAACACACTCATGTTCAGTAACTAAAAATCAGGACATATATTTAAGTAACTAAAACCCCATAAATTAAAAAAAAATGTATGTATATGAGTATAGTAGTAAAATTAAACACTAAAAGTAATGTAATATCTTTATCTTGATATATAGCTTTAGAGTAACAACTTAAAATGGAGTCTTCTCTTACCTTAATAAGTTTTAACATAACTTTATTTTTATTTTTTTATTTTTTCTCTGTCTCTATGTATTTGTTTATTGTTGTTGTTATCTACTACTTAATGAAGGAAATCATACGGTATTTGACCTTCTCCCTCTGACTTATTTCACTTTGCATAATACCCTCAATGTCCATCCATGTTGTCACAAATGACTGGATTTCATCGTTTCTTATGGCTGAGTAGTATTCCATTGTGTATATATACCACATCTTCTTTATCCATTCGTCCCTTGATGGGCACTTAGGTTGCTTCCAAGTCTTGGCTATTGTGAATAATGCTGCAATGAACACAGGGGTGCATGTATCTTTACGCATTGGTGTTTTCAAGTTCTTTGGATAAACACCCAGCAGTGGAATAGCTGGATCATACGGTAGTTCTATCCTTGATTTTTTGAGGAATCTCCATACTGTTTTCCATAGTGGCTGCACCAGTTTGCACTCCCACCAGCAGTGTATGAGAGTTCCCTTCTCTCCACATCATCTCCAACACATGTTGTTTCCTGTCTTGTTAATTATAGCCATTCTGACGGGTGTCAGGTGATATCTCATTGTAGTTTTGATTTGCATTTCCCTGATAGTTAATGATTTTGAACATCTTTTCATGTGTCTGTTGGCCATCTGTATATCTTCTTTGGAGAAATGTCTGTTCAGGTCTTTTGCCCATTTTTTAATTGGGTTGGTAGTTTTTTTGTTGTTGAGATGCATGAGTTCTTTATATATTTTAGAGATTAACCCCTTATCAGATGTATGGTTTGCAAATATCTTCTCCCAATTGTTAGGTTGTCTTTTCGTTTTGTTAATGGTTTCCTTTGCTGTGCAGAAGCTTTTTAGTTTGATGTAGTCCCATTTGTTTATTTTTTCTATTGTTTCTCTTGCCTGGTCATACATGGTGCTTGAAAATATGTTGCTAAGACCGATGTCGAAGAGCGTACTGCCTATGTTTTCTTCTAGAAGTTTCATAGTTTCAGGTCTTACATTCAAGTCTTTAATCCATTTGGAGTTAATTTTTGTGTATGGTGTAAGGTAAGGGTCTACTTTCATTTTTTTGCATGTGGCTATTCAGTTTTCCCAACACCATTTGTTGAAGAGACTTTCTTTTCTCCATTGTATGTTCTTGGCTCCTTTGGCAAAGATTAGCTGTCCATAGATGTGTGGGTTTAACATAACTTTAAATTCAGTTAAATCTATAATATTGAATACGTATAATTGACTTTGGGATGGGGACTTTTTCCAGTCATTAAGAGTGTTTGTTTAAGGTGATCTCATTGACGGCAGTTCTCAGCCATCTCAAAAACTGCAAGCTAATCAGTTAGAAATTCCTGTAGTGTCCCAATTTTTTTCGTCTTAATAATACCATGTTTTCTATTTTTATTTATTTTTGCTAAGGCATATGAGAGTGAATTTATTATAGCAGTAATCTTTTCCCTAATTTGTAAATAATTCATCAGCTTCAGTGCTTTAACTTAATGAGTAACCAATGACCTGACACACACCTCACAGCTCATCACAACTCATCGGTGAGTCATGACATCAAGGGGGAGAATCACTGGAGGGTCTTCACAAAATGCGGTTTTTCCAATCTGAGATTGAATTGTAGGAATAATTTCATAGAAATGTATAGCTGAAAGGGTATGAATTTCATCTCACAAAGGTATGCTGTTTTTTTCTTTGGTGAGAAAGAGTAACCCTGAGCTAACATCTGTTGCCAATCCTCTTTTTGCTGAGGAAGATTGGCCCTGGGCTAACATCCGTTCCCATCTTCCTCTACTTTATATGTGGGACGCCTTCCACAGCATGGCTTGATAAGTGGTGCATAGGTCCACGCCCGGGATCTGAACCTGTGAACCCTGGGTTGCTGAAGCAGAGCTCTCGAACTTAACCATTATGCCACTGGGCCGGCCCCTGTATGCTGTTCTTAATAGATATTTTTGGGAAACAAATCCCTGAGATGACTCTGAAATTTTTTTTTTTGCATGAAAGTTGCTATTTGAAGCACTTGAGTTGACTTTTCATCCTATATTTTCAAACCCTATATTCACTTTTGTGAGTGATTTTTAAAAAATTGTCCATTTAGCCATGGACAGTTGAGTCAGGATAGTCAGTGCAGCTGATTATATTTACTGTGTTTACTCTATCAGCCTACTTAAGATTGACTGAGTGGCCATAGTGGCTATAGTGCTCCAGAAGTGGCAGCAAGGGAAGTAGGGAAGGAGGCAGGACAGGCACACCTGAATAGATAAACCAGAGGAAATGAAATGACATCTTTGGGTTGCAGGAGCAAACAACCTCTAAAAATTAGTGTAGGGGAGGAAGAACCATTCCTCTACCCTCTAGGTTCTTCAGGCTGGTCAAAGAATTAAATTGACATGGGACAAAATAACAGGACAAAATCAAACAAAGTTTAATAACATGTAAACATGAGAGAAACCCAGGAAAATTGAGTAACTTGCCAAAATGGCAGAAGCTGCCACCTTAAATACCATCTTCAGCTAAAGACAAAGGAGGATGTTGGGGGTGTAGTTTGGGACTTCAAAGGGGAGGAAGGAAATTTATATGGAGACGGAAAAGCAAATGTTTGGTAAACAAATGTTGACCATGCCTTGTAAAGACACTGAGAGATGGAGAGGACTTTGATCAAATGGGCCTTGCTAGGTTCCTCCCTATTACACCTAGTTTACGTTATATTATAGCTATCTTATGGTATTAGCTCCCTCCTGGAACAGGTCTTCTATCTTAAATTCTTTTAGGCAGTTAGGGGGGAAGGTCAAAGTTTCATTCTGAGTCTCTTGTTCTTAAAAATTATCAAGCCAAAGAGTGGCTTTTGGGGTGGCAAATTCTGATCCCACATATTAGCACACTGTGTAGAGTGAGTTTTCTGCTGATATAAGTAGGGCCGGTTTGAGGGCACTTTAAAAACTCTAATTCCAGTTAGGTTTTTCCCTGTCTTTTCTGCTTCTGCCCATCTCTTGCCTACCTGATCTTACTAAGAGTGGGCATAGAGAAATGTGGAGGGAAATTGTTAGAGATTTCTCCCAGATCAGAAGTGTAATGTTGCTGTTGACTGAAAAAGTGCTCCCAGCAAAGTCAGCATCCTCTGGTGTATTGGGTTAGACTGGGTTATGCTAATGTAGGCAACATCTATAAAATCACAGTGGCTTATTATAACAAACTTTTATTTGTACTCATATTACTTTTCTAGTGCAGCTCAGAAGGGGTTCTGTTTCTCGTGATCATGCAGGGGTCCAGGCCGATTTTGCATTCTGCCATCTCAGCATATGGCCTCCATGGTAGCTGCAGTAGGAGGAAAGAGTGTATGGAAACCTCACTATATTTTGGCTTAGAAGTGATGGGTGTCAATTCTGCTTACAGCCTGTTGGCCAGAACTGGTCATATACCACCATCTAATAGAATGGGAGCTGAGAAATGTGGGGAGCTCATGGATATATTCTGTGTGCAGTAAAAATATAGCTACCACACCTGGGGAAGATTTCAGGCCAGTCAGATGGCACCCTAGGGTGGCATTACTTGGATAAATTATCACAGTCCAGAGGCTCAGGGGTGCAGGCTAGAAGCCTGTTATGTAAATGCACCAAGAATGAATTTATCATGTGCAGATTCACATTAACCTAGCACATAGAGACTGATGTATAAAGTCGGAATACCAATTTTTAAAAATTTTACAGTAAGAAATGTAACCATGGAATGGATTATATCAGAGCATTTTCTCCTCATTTGCATATCTGTGTGGGAAGCCAAATTATAATCAGAAAGCTGCTGGTGACTTTGCAGCTAAAACAAGGAGAGTGAGCAAAATGGACCTAAATGGCAGATGTCATCAAGACATAAGCTTCCCCACTTTAACAATGTGTTAGGGGGGCCAGCCTGGTGGTGTAGTGGTTAAGTTCACGTGCTGTGCTTCAGCAGCCTGGGGTTCATGGGTTCAGAGCCTGGGCTTGGACCTATACACCGCTCATCAAGCCATGCTGTGGTGGCATCCCACATACAAAATGGAGGAGGATTGGCACAGATGTTAGCTCAGGGACAATCTTCCTCACCAAAAAACCCCCACAAAAAACAAAAAACAAAAAACAATGCATTAGAATCCTGCATAGAATACTGCATTTAATTTACTTGAATTTAACTATACACACTCAGAGAAGGGCCAAATATGATTTCAATGTTTAAATATGTTTATTTTTGGAACAACCATGATCTCTAATTCAAGCCAACAACTTCATCTTGCATTCAGCAAAACAGTGATGTGTTACAGCACTGGAGAAAAACTGACAGTGTTGGGCTTGTGAACTGGTATATCTGTCTACTAGGCTTTATAGGTTATATATGGGATTTTCAAGGATAATTTTGACAACACTCAAGTTTTTCCTTATGCCTTATGGTAGCCTGCCTCCAAAATGGCTCTCAATGATCCCCACCTTCTGCTCTTCAGACCCTTGTGCATTCCTCTCCCACATTTCACCAGGGTTGGTCTGTGTGACCAATAGAATATTCAGAAGTGAGAGTATGTCACTTCTGAGATTAGGTTATAAAAGACTGCATCTTCTGTTTTGGTCCATTTTTCTCTCTCTCTCTCTCTCTCATCACTTGGTCTCTGGGAAGCCAGCCACCTGTCATGATCAGCCTTAAGGAGAGGCCCATGTAGCAAGGAACCGAGGACCAACAGCCACAAGAATGAGTTTGGAAGTGGATCCTCTAGCCCCTGTCAGGGCTCAGATGCCTGCAGTCGGGCTGACACCTTGACTGCAGCCTTGTGAGGCGCTGAGCCGGAG